GAGAGCTGTAACAGCAGTGGTAGCTCTTTGTCCACAGAAAACACCATGAGAATTCCTACTCCTCGGCCTTTGCATATACTGTTCTTCCCCTGTTATGTTCTTCCTTTTTGTGGTCCAGTCTAAGTCCTGCAAAACTCTTCCATTATGCTTCAGTGTCCTCTCCATCCCTGAATCCCCATAATTCTCATGTTCATTTGATACTTTCTGCCTTGAGGAGTAAATGACTTTTGTAAATTAATATTTATTAGGTATTAAGACCAACTATGTTACAGGCAACGTACTAGGTAGTCTTGTGTTCACAATAACCCAGACAGTACACAGGGTGTCCCAAAAAATGTATACACATGTTAATAGCTGATAGCTCAATTGATGTTTCTTTCTTTCCACATTTAACCCATTGGAATTAATAATTATTCAAAGTATGTATACATTTTTTGGGACACCTGTATATTGATATCTCCTCTTTACAGATAAGGAAAGTAAGATTTAGGATTTAGAGTTGTTAAGAAAAAAAAAAAAAAGGCAAACTTGCCAGGGTCACCTAGTTCATATACGACAGTCAGGATTTAAAACCAGGCTCCACATACCACAGTCTTTCCACCATGGCACCCTGTGTCATTTTGTTTGTCCATTTCCCTTATTCACTCAATTAGGGTGCATCATCTTCTTAATCCAACCAGGACTCACTGAAGCATGTGGGCCTTGTTGGAAGTTACATAATAGTCTAAAAAAAGAGTTAATGAAGAGAAGGCAGAATCCACAAACCCATGGGTGGGAACAGAGAGATGGTGGGAGAGAAGGATGACCCTGAGACTTCTGGCTTCTGGAATTATTATGCTGACTCTAACCAACATTATGAACCAGGAGCAGAGATGAGGAAGAGAATAGTCAAATGTGAGTATCCTATGCAGAGATGTTTATTACATCCACCTGGAGCTTCCCAGAGCCTGGGTATCCTGGTTAAGAGCATGGTCTTTGGTGTCAGTTATCCCTGGTCTTGAACCTAAGCTCTACCATTTGTCAACTGCATGCCTTTAAGGATGTTACTTTATCTCTAAGAGTCTCAAGTTCTCATATGCAAAATAAGAATAATAATACCCACCTCAAAGAGTTTTAGAAAGACAGTATTAAACAATACATATAAAATGGCTAATATAATGCCTGGCATGTCATAAGTACTCAATAAATGGCATTTTATTGCTAACTAGAGGCCTGGTGCACAGATTCGTGCATTGGTAGGGTCCCTCAGCCTGGCCTGCGGGGATCAGTGGACCTCTGCACTGCCGCAGCCCAGCCTTACCCACCAGCTGCTCAATCCCGCACAGCATTAAATAGTGTGTGAAGTGGCAGGCAGCCGGGGAGAAGACTGAGCCCAGGTGGGGCGCCTCACCGCTCCTGCTTATCCGGGCCCCCACTGCGCCTGCCACGCCACTACTCAGGCGCACAGGGGGAGTGTTCATGGGAGAGGCTCACGCTTCTGCAGCCTGGAACGGCACTCCCACTGTAGGAGCACACTGACCACCAGGGACAGCTCCTGTGTTGAGCACCTGCCCCCTAGTGGCCAGTGCATGTCATAGCTACCAGCCTGTCATCAGGTCATCTGGTCGTCCTGTCGCCTAGGCTTTTACATATATAGATAACACAGATGATTGCAATAGTGTGACACCAGAGTAGAAGGCATCTGAGCTAGAGAATGGTTTTAGATATCATTGGTGTATGCACAATGGCTGATAGCCTAAGAGTCAGTGGAATACAGTTCCAATTTGTTGGTTCCTAGCTCAAACATCCTCAATGCCTCCTTCTTGATTACAGAACAAAGTCTAATTTATCATAGGCTAGCAATTTCTGATTCTGTGCTCTTGTTCAGAAATTGATTTTTCTGAAATTTTCCCCAATAGTCTGCTTTATACATTACATACACTACATATATCTATATACTTCATGTGCTAAAATGAAACTATGCATTCTCTATATACCTTTAACTTTCTAATCTCTATTTTCTTTATGTCTTCCCTCAGCCTAGAATACTCCTCCAAATACTATTCCCTCCTTCAGGGATGTCACTTCTTCCATGAAGTTCTTTCTAAAGTCCTCAGAAGTACTTAATATTCTTCTTTCTGAAAGTTTATAGAAAATTTTCACATCTCTTTTATAGAACTTGTTATTTTATACCTAAAATATATTTAGATAAGTGGTTATCCGGCTATTCTCCACAGCACCTTTGGGATTCCACATAGGTGGGAGTGGGAAATGGAGAGTCATTTTTGGGGAAAGAAAACAACCCAAACCCAAGCATTTACTCAAGCACAATAGAGCTCAGTTCACTGAGCCCACCTCCTCGCCTGGCTTGTCTCCACTCCCCTATTGAACCGACTGCAACTGACAAGCCAAAAGAGAACTCCCCAGGCTCCCCTCATCAGGGATTTGGTGGATCTACCAAGGAAAGGGAGAGCAGGATAAATAAAACTCCAACACTCTAACCAGTAGTGAATTCTGAAATCTTTTATTTGTTTCCACGTAAATATCAATATTATTATTAGGCTATATTATTAATATCAATATTAATACTCTCTGATAATCAGGAAAGCACTAAATACAAAATCAAGGCTTAAAATAGGGGACCTGCCCAGTATTCTTAAGAACAAAATATGACTTAGATCAAGGTTGGATTCCTTAAGTCATTCACTAAGTAGAAAGGCACTAGGTAACAGTTGATGAGGGAAGACTGTTAGCATGTCCAAGAAAAAAAAATCCACATAGTAAAAGAAGTTACCTATCTTGACTCATAGCAACCAGTATATGGACACTTAGCATGTACTTTCACACTTTAGCACTATGGGCATAAGATTCTAGCAGTGGTTCTCAACCTTCCTAATGCCGCGACCCTTTAATATAGTTCCTCATGTTGTGGTAACCCCCAACCATAAAATTATTTTCGTTGCTACTTCATAAATGTAATTTTGCTACTGTTATGAATCATAATGTAAATATCTGATATGCAGGATGTATTTTCATTGTTCGCAACCCACAGGTTGAGAACTGCTGTAAGGGGATCATTTAACAAGGGTGGAAGCAGGATTGAAAAATGGGAAAGTATTTGTCCAAAATCATTTGGCTAGTTAGTGACTCAGTCAAATTGGAATTCCAGTCTCCTGACTTCTTATTCAGTTCTGTTTCCACAGAATTCTGTTATGTCCAAAGAAAAGTTAATTATCCTTTTGAAGGAGTGACTTAAATGAGACATGCATGTTTTGATGGGTGAAAGGTGGGGGAGTGAGGCTGCTGCATGGCAGAAATATCCCTGTGTGGGTGAAGGAGGGAGGCCAGCATGGAAGAGTAGGCCATGTGTACTCAGTGGGCATTTGCCAAGACAGGCCATGACACCAAAGACAAACATCCCACAGAACAGTTATGCTTAGGGCTGGAATGTGCACGTCCAGGTGAAATATAGTCAGAAATTCCAAACTTTAAAAAGTAAACATACATTTTCTTAAATATTATCTATAGTCATAAACATTTACTTATTAGATATCACTCATTGAGTAACATCAACTTGCAGACCATAGTCAGCACACACACACACACACACACACACACACACTTAAATTCTCCGAGTAGTTGAGACAGATTTATAGAATATTTTGTTCAGAACAATTGGCATAAAGCATTTAGCCCAATGCCTAGTCCATAGTAGACCCTCCATAAATATTCCCTATAGTTATGATTGGCCACCACTAGAGCTTGGTTACTCTTAACTTATGCACAATTTCTCTTATTTAGCTTTTTATTTAGCACTTATTTATGTCTCCACAACAGATTAAAATAGAAGGGTGGGAATATAATTGGAGATAGACACTTAAGAGGAGATGGAAAACTATGTTAAAAAGACAGAAAAAAATTCAAATGTGATGGAAACCGTCTAGTGCAGGGCCATCTTTCTGGCCCAGCACAATTATTGTGATGACACAGAATCATCCAGAAAAAGGTCTACATCCTGCATGCTCTATTTAAAATGGTAGGGAAACATTGGCAACCATTAAAACAAATTTTAGCCAAAATCTAAGAATCTACAAATTATCTAGAAATTTGACTTATGAAAAATTGCATGTGTTCACAATGCTGTGAGCCTGATACATCAGGAGGAACATTTAAACTAAACATAAGGGATCTCATTATCTTAAAAGCCGTGGCATTAGCTGATTCTAGTCCAGGGGTGGGCAAACTTTTTGACTCGAGGGCCACAATGGGTTCTTAAACTGGACCGGAGGGCCGGAACAAAAGCATGGATGGAGTGTTTGTGTGAACTAATATAAATTCAAAGTAAACATCATTACATAAAAGGGTACGGTCTTTTATTTCAATAGTTTTATTCATTTCAAACGAGCCGGCCGCCGGGCCGTAGTTTGCCCACGGCTGTTCTAGTCTCAATAATTGATATAAGATCGTATGTGATATTAGGATGTTTCTAGATAGAGATCATTGTTTTTCATAAGATACAGTAGGCTCTCAGTGTCTTTGACATAAAGTTGCATCTGAAAATAGAATTGCTTCATTTTTGAAACTAGCAATGTGGTGTGCATGTACAAGGCATGGGGCTGAGTGTTATCAGCATAAGCTGAAGGGTGCATACATGTTCCAATGACTATCAGTAGCAAAGAATGTGTTTCACTCCCCAGACTCTTTAAAATTCTTACTGGATTTTTGAGGGGGGAATTGCTATTAAGAACATTTGGAGGCTGGGAAAGCAATGTGGTAGAGGGGGGAAAGCCTAGACACAGAGTAATCTTTATCTTCACCAAGTCCTGACAGCTGTTCACAAGTTGATTTTCCTTCTTAACTGCACCCAGTGAGAGGTATTTAGGCAACATGCAGACTGCAACCCAATCCATCCTAAAGAGGCAGCTGCGGTTGTCAGTGGGTCCATACCACTTTCGGCTGATTCATCGCCCCCTCCTTGGTCCTCTTCATTTCGACAATGCCAGATGCCAGATTTCCAGCAAATGCTCGTCCAGTGTCTTTTTCAATAAAGCAAGTTTATTACGACCATTTCCTGACCAATAGAAACAATTGGTATCATGAAGAAGAGGCACCTATTTTCTTCTTCGGCAGAGGTACCTGACAGGCTTGAGGCAATTGTGAAGGATGAGGGCTAGGTGCTTTAGAAGATTGGAGGATAAATAAAGTTAAATGATATGTAAAATAAGTCTTAAATATCCCTGAGTGGGAGTGGGGGAATCTTCTTCTGGTCACATCCTGTGTAGCCAGAGGTGGGGGCTGATCTGGGATGACTCCTCCACTACCAAGGAAGAACCAGTGTCCTGTCCACCCCCATTGTGGCATTCGAGCTTGGTGCCTGGCTTAGGTGTGGCCATCAGGTCCTCATTCAGCACAGAATCTATCGGGAGTTTGATGAATGAGAATTAACTCCCCACCATTCACCTGGATGTCTGCACAGGAGGTATTGTGAGTGGTCACATTCAAGTAGACTTTGTCCTTGAAACCCAGAGAGGCCACGATGATGGAGTCAACAAACGTGACCTTGTCATGGGAGAAGAGGGGGTTCCGGTTTTGCCTGTAATGAAGGCTGAGGCTGAGCTCCTGGGAGAAGTAGCCCTTCAGGGAGATGAGATAAAACCCATCACATGGGATGGGGATTGAGTTGTCTTGTATCTTCATGGGGTCCTCCTTGCTTGGGGATGTGAGGATGAAACCTTTTTCATTGTCACACTCTAAGGAGGGTAGGACAAGAAGAAATAAAAAAAAGAAAGAATGATTCCTTAGCACAACTTTGGGCAACAACATTCCAACACATCTAGAAACATATGAAGAGACAGCGATAGGAAGAGATTTTGAGAAGAATGAGAGGAAGCGGGCATTGTGCTTTACCCATGGGATGGAAGAGGAGGTAGAGCTAGCACTGGTACCCAAGACAGTTCCTGATGGGGCTGGAACTCAAGAACTGAGAGATTAAAGCCATTGGCGGTTGTCACAACAGACCTGCGGCAGGAAATGGAGCTTGGAGGTTTCCCTGATTTTCAGAACAGGGAGGGACTGGCAACCTCAGGGCTTTCTTGTTCAATAGCTCAATAGGAGCAAAGGGTGCCGGGAGGGCCATTGCTTTGAGCTCTTCCCTATTCTCTCTCCACCTGACTGTGAAATGCACATTTTCACATGCCCTGGGCACTGGACTTTCCAGCAGCATTTACTACTGGCTTTTACCAGCAGCTGCTGAAGCTTAATGATGCTGCTGTGCACAGAATGTCAGTGGGCTCAGGCTCTGCCCAGAAAGAGGCAGGTGAAAGAGCTCCAGAACAAAGACCTGCCTCTCCCTTCTACCTTGTCACTACCTTTTCCTGGAAGGTGCCTTGGGAAGAGCTGCTTTCACAGGAGGAAGAAGAGGAGGGGGAGGAGGAGGAGAAAGACAAGGACACAGTGATGGCTTTGGTACCCTCGTGAGGAGCCATTCCAAGTGTAAGCCAAAAAGCCTTAATTTCTTTTCAATCAGCCCTGATATGGCCAAGCAACCACATCTCAGACTCCCCACTCTGGCCCATGTCCCTTGGTAATAGGAAAAAGTAGGTCCCCACTGCTGGACACACAATCAATAATTCTTGCTCTGAACCAGGCCCATGGAGGCATGCTTGAACTGGAAATGAAGACCTCTTATGGAGGGCAAGATGTACTTCCCTCAGGCTCAGGAGAACTTGATAGACAGTGACTAGCCTTAAAGAAACTACTGGTGGCCCTAACCGGTTTGGCTCAGTGGATAGAGCGTTGGCCTGCGGACTCAAGGGGCCCAGGACTCAAGGGTCCCAGGTTCGATTCCAGTCAAGGGCATGTACCTTGGTTGCGGGCACATCCCCAGTAGGGGGTGTGCAGGAGGCAGCTGATCGATGTTTCTCTCTGTCCCTCTCCCTTCCTCTCTCTAAAAAAATCAATAAAATATATTTTTTTTAAAAAGAAACTACTGGTGGGTGTTTTAGTGTTAGTCATGGATCCAAGTCATGCTGTCCTGGTGAAGTATCACCTGGCCTTCACACCTGGGGCCTCCCCCAACTCTCATTAAAGTAAAATCTTGACCTATACCAGAATTACTGGCAAAACTAAGGAAGTAAAGCCTTAGTTTCCTTACCTTAAAAATAAGAATAATTCCACCCTAGCTGCTTTTTTCTCAGTGGTTAGAGCGTCAGCCCACAGACTAAAGGATTATAGGTTTGATTCAGGTCAAGGGCACATAATTCGGTTGCAGGCTCAATCCCTGGCCCCAGTTGGGGGCAGTGCGGGAGGCAATCAATTAATGTGTCTCTCTCACATGGATGTTTCTCTCTGTCTCTTCCCCTCCCTTCCACTCTCTCTAAAAATCAATGGGGGGGGGGGGGAGGGAATATCTTTGGGTTAGGAGTAACAAAAAAAAAAGAATAATTCCTGCTCAGAGGGTTCCTGGAAGGATTAGTAAGGCATCTAAAGGAATTAAGCACAGATTTGGCAACTAATGACTCCCCTTTTCTTCTTTATACACCTTCTTTGTCTCAAATATAAACAACATGCAAGGTCCAGGTATTCCAGGATTTAATGCTTCCCTAAGAAAGGGTGAGATCTTGTGTTCTGGAGGAAATGAAGAGATTCAGAGGGAAAAATTCTTTTTAAAAAAATCAAACTTTCGACAACACTTACCGGTAAATTGTGCTCTGATACTTTGAATTGGAGGATACTGAGGTGGCACCTGAAGAAAGCAAAGAGATATTTTTAGGAAAATAAATGGTGAAGAAATGGAATTAACAAGTCATATTCTATGAAACAGAAATGGAGTAGACTAGAGAGGGAGCGACTTGCCAAAGACTTGGGTTTTTTCCATGGAGAATAGACCCAGACTGCCAACCTGCCCGCTGGCCTTTCTATAACACCCCTTAAGGTAAGTTAGGAGTGTTCTGCCCTTTCATGCAAACACCAAGGTCTGTGCTCAGCCCTGCCAAACTCTCCTTTGGTGTGTTGTTTTGGCTCACTGAGTCCCAATTTCCCATTTTGGATAACAGAGCATTTAATAGTCATCTTGTCAAGAAACCCATTCAGTCGCAGAGATCCATCCCCTCCTGAAGAAGGCTGTGCCCGATCCACCCGCTGTGACCACCGACTCCCAGAATGCACTGGGAGTGAATTCTGGAAGCTTCCTAGCTCTAACGCAAGTGTAAAAGTGTTTTATTTTCAGGGCACACTACCAACTAAAACTAGTGTAATCCTTCAGAGTTTGGTAGATGTGAATATAGTCTATTTTTTACATTGGTTTTCTCCCTTCTCCTTAAAAGCTTGAAAACCTAATTTGAACCCAGAGAGTATTTAACATCAAAAAAGGAGAGAGGAAGCCCAAGGGGTAAAATGTCTGCAGTAATTTGATGGGGAAGAGAACAAAGAAGTTCAATAAGGAGCAAACTATAAAGTATATGAAGCGAAAAAAAGCAAAAGGCAGAATCATGTATAAAGTATATGACTGTGTATTTAAAAAAATAAAAATATGGCTTGCATGGGCATTGACTCTATCTGAAAGGACACACAAAACACTGTTTGCAAGTGTTGCCTCTGGAGAAAGGAACTGGAAGCCTAAAGTCAAGAATGGGAGTGCCCCTTACTTTTCATGGTCGACTTTTTTTCAATTTTGTACCATCTGCTTATATCACCTACTAAAAAGGGAAAGCGAGAAAAGAAAGCGCACTGTCTCTTGTGTCTGCCAAGAACAACAGCTCTCTCCGCAGGATGCTTTTTGGCTGATGGAGGTGTGGGGAGGAATTTGTTTTCATGCCCTGGAGTGTGGAATCCCTGCCTCCCACTCGCTGGCATATAAGTAGCCGCAGTCAAGTGGATTCCTCTAGCGACTGCCCACGCGGACGAGGAATCCCCTATTTCCCGTAGAAGTCAAAGCACAAGCCTAACCCAGCCGAAACCAACAGGCCTGGGAGGTAGAAGGGAGAGACTTTTCCAGCCCTGCCAATTCATAATCCCCAGGGGTGAATAAATGCCCCACTGCTCTCTAAGCCAGCAAGTCAGTCCAGCATGAACGGCCACCTGGTTAATTTCAGAGAGTGCAGGGCTCAGCCAGCAGCAAACTGAGTTCTAATGCCAGCCAGGCAGGGATGGTGTCATCATGGGCAAGTTTCACAACTTCTCTAGACATCAGTTTCTCATCTTTAAAAATTACTAGAAGTTCAAGAGATCCCTTTCAACACTAACCGTCCATGATCCAGGTTTCTGAAGTTGTAACCCTAAGTCAATTTTCATAGAAGAGGAAAAAACAAGGCTTCCTCATCCCCAAACTTACATCAAGCCCTCTGATCTGAAAGCCCTCATGATTGGATTATTTGACTGGCTATGCAAAAATCTCCACATGGTTTCTGCAGTTCAAGGAAATCTACCACAGTTTTGAAGCGCCCTGATGATGTAAGGGTAGTAGTGACCCAGGGGATGTTCTCTGAGACCAAGAGGCTGAGAGGCAACAAGGAAAGCTCACATGACTTCCTCTCTTGGTTAGAGCTACTGGAACTCCAGACTGAAGCTTTCTGTTCCTTGTCCTGATGGTTACTCAGTGTTAGAAATAGATATATTCTCAGAAGTCTCTAGCATCAGTACCATTAAGTTTAGGCAATGTTGTGAAATAAAATAAATGGTCCTTTCTCTTGCTCCCTGCCCTGCCTTAACTCTTCCCCTCACCCTCCATACCTGATTAACTCATGCGGATAACCCCACTGCCCAGAAATACCCCCACAGTGCCCCATTCAAAGTTCTCCATGGCCCGGCTCCAACCTCCTGGTCAAACTTTATTTCCACACATATCCTTTCTGTGTTTTACATTCTAGCCAACCATTTTCTCTAATCTTTTTGCCCTTGAATAAGCGTGGTAAGATGAGACAGAGAGCATAGCCTTGAGGGTCAGATTCAGTTCAAATTGTGACTTCTCTAATTTTACGAAATTGGAAACATGTAGCATTTCTGAGCTTCAGCTCTCATGCCAGTGAAAATAAGGCATATTGTTATTGGAATATTCCCAGGAGATGACTGTGAAGTTTAAATAAGATAGCGTATGTGAAAGCACCCAGCAATTTGCCAAGTGCATGGTAAGTTTTAGAAAATACTTGCTTTCTTAGTTCTATCCAACAAGAATGTCCCTCCATCTCTGGTAACTCTGTCATTCCTCTTTTCTTGGCTTCACTTATGACAGCCCTCACACCCAGGAGGGAAGCCTGAACTCTGAGTGCTCCCTTTGTGCTCTTGTGATGAGTTCATGGTGAGACTACCACCCTGCCAATCTGCTGTGTGTGCCAACTTCTCTCTCCTCTGAGCTTGACACTGAAGTGGACACAAGAATGGAATGTTAATAAAATCTACCGAGGGGTTCCTCCTCACTCCAAATTTGAATGGGGGGGGGGCATTACTTGTGTGGTATAATGGAAATCATACGGGAATGAAGGGGTGGAGTTGAAATCTTCCCTTTCTTGGCCTCAACTTCCTTATCTATAAAATACAGGATTCAACTAGAAGATGACTTCTTGTACACTCATGCTTCTGACATGGTCTCATTCAAACATCAGGGCTGTACTCTGATTGAGATGTGTAGACTGTACTACACAGACAACCATTAGAGTTGGCTAAGGAGATCTTCTCTGGAGAACTTCTGTCAGTGTAGACTGACAGGAGTTTGGAGACAGTGTGGAGTCTTCAGACATTTCCAGATTGAAGAAGCTTTATTGTGTAGCTTGTCCTTGGATGGAACTCCTCTGGGACCTTTGATATTTTCTATTTTGTTAGTCTCTGGAGAAGATCTGAGGATTTTTCTTGTGTTGATATATAAAAAAAAGACCATGTTTGTGTATGGGTAAAAAAAAATCTTCTGATATTTACCCTTATGAAAGTATTTGAGGGTCTAAGATTAATTTGAAGTATTTTCATCATCAGTACTGATCAAGATTAAAATATTGGGTTTTAGATAGTTGTCAAAATATTCAGATATATTTCAAAATACTCCAGAGGTTCTCCAGAGAAGATCTCCTCAGCCAACTCTACATAGTTGTCTGTGTAGTACAATTTGGCCCAACCTTTAGCTGGGCTCTGAAGAGGTGCAATTGACCTGACGGGGGGCAGCAGCCCCATGGACAAGTACAAAGTAGACAGGTGCTGCAAGAAGAGTCAGAAGTAAGTCCTTTTCTGGCCTCTCACAGTACCTTGAGCACTGAGCTGTTGGAGAACAAAACTGGGAAACATCTGATGTCCAGCCTTTACCCAGCAGCCTGTACCATGTTCCCAGGAGCTCATCTTTAGAGAGAGTTTCTAATTCTAACTTACTAGGATGTTGGCATTTATTTTACTCACTTGGCATTTGTCTTGCGGGTAATTCTTGGCAGGAAGGAATGAGCCTCTGGAAGGTATGAAACCAGGGCATGGGCTCTACCTTCACTCTGTGAGCCTTGCCCTTCCTCACTTGATACCCAGCCACAATGTCAAGATGTTATGTGGGAGAGGGGTAGTGTGGGAGTCAGTGGAGCACGGTGGGGAAACAGATCTGTGATGGGGACTCCCCAGTTCACCATGCCACCTCCACTGGGATGTGAACATCTCCTCCCTGTGCCTTGGGCTTCATGTCAGAGGAGACCTGAGAGATCATGAAAGCACACCCTCACACTCTCAGGGTGCATCTCAAGGAGCCTCTGCAGGGGAAGATGGAATATTCCATCCTGAGCCATTGCAGTCAGCTGGGAAGCTAGACTCTCATCCTGAGGCATTCGGTGGTGCTCAGCAGAAACAGCCTCCTTACCAAGGGCAAGGCCTTACCTTCTGATCAGGGAAGTTCAGAACCCCACGCAGAGAGACTAGGAAGAATGGGAAAAACTGGTTCTTTGCCCAAGCAGCCTTCCACATTCAGAAAAACCTCATCCCGAAAGTTACATTTCTTAGAAACGAAGATGTGTGGCTCTGAAAACCATGTTGAATAAAGAGTCTATTGGGATCTAATGACACAAAGAACAGCCATTTTAATTATTATCCTAAACCCTCTCTTTCTCCTTCCCCACCCTTCACCATGACTGTCAGCACCTTTCTGCTATAAGCTCTTTCTTAACCTTCATTCTCTTTACTACACAATCCATGCGATATCCTAACATAGCCCCCCTCTCTAAACACTGCCCTTTTTCTTGTCACAATTACTTAGTAATGGCTACCCCACAGAGAGGACCCTGTCCTCTCTATCTCAGAGAACAAGAACTGCAGTTTCATTGTCCCAGAAGCTTAGCAATTAACAGATTCCTAAGAGGGATCTCAGGAATGAACCAAAAGCATCCAGGTGGCATGAACACACCTTCAAAATTATGTGATTGACCAAATGCAACCAACTTTTGCTGTCCTCAAGGGGAAGGTTTTCTCATATCTGGGTTTCCCTTTCCACATGAACTGGGGAAGTCCTCAAAGTATACCCACAGAGGCATCTGCCAAAACATTTCTAAGAACTCACTTCCTCACCTTGGTGATTGGGTGAGTCTGCAGCGTAACATTCTGTAGCAGCTTAGTTTCTAAGCAACTGGAAGGGTCAGTTACAGTGTACCCACTGTATTATCATAAATCTCACCCTGCCTCAATCATAATGGAGTTCAGTTAAGTAAATGTTTGCTGAGCTAAGAGGGAACTTAGCCCCTAAGACTATGCCTGCTCCTTAGTTAGGGACTTCATAATCACATAATATTTGAT